CCTCAAAATTTTGGCTGACTACTACCATAAATGGCAGCTTATCCCAAGTCCAGGAAAAACAGAATGCCCCTGTTTCCATCTCAATAACAATCTTGCCAGCCATGAACTAATGCCTACCTTAATGGCGCCTGACTTACACAGAACCATACACCTAAGTACCTTGGCATTACCCCTAGACAGGACCTTGAGCTATAAACACCACCTTACCATTGTAGCAGTGAAAATATGCACGTGAAACAACATTCTCCAAAAATTATGTGGTACAACTTGGCTTGCATCTGCTACAACACTTAGATTAATTGGTGTATAGATGTATAGTACTGTGGTGCTTCAGTGTGGCTCAACAACCCCCATGCCCACAAACTTGATGTCCAGCTCAACACAACAATAAGAACCATCAGCAGATAGACCCACTCTGACCTATTGGCTACCCACATTGTGCCACATTGCTTACCCACACCTCTGAAGCCACGGTGCTCTTCTTTGTGAATATAGGAAGATCATTGAAAACAGATAGTTGCCCATTCATAAAGACATGGCTGACATGGGACTATCCTGACATCCAACAATAAGATCTGCACAAATCCTGCAATCACAAAATTTCATTCTAGGGAATGAATGGTTGTGAATATGATGCAATCAGTTCCACCCGATATCGAGAACCTGATAAACACCAAGAAGAGGCCCTCAGGATTTGACGTACTACGTAAAGTATGGAAAATGGTTAATAGAATACGAATAGGTTTTGGCAGTTGTGCAGACCTGTTGTTTAAATGGGGCAAAATACCAGGACCTAAATGTGATTGTGGTGCAGCCCGTCAAACTATGTTCCATCTGTCACAGGAATGTGAGCATCATGCTTTCCAAGGAGATGTGATGGAGCGCTTTGAACTCTTCCCAGCTACGACTGAGGGGATTGAAAAACTAGATATTAGTATTTAGGGGGATTGCCCAATCGGTCTGCATACCCATTGTATCAACTTGGTTACATATTTTATAGTATTATATGCTTCCTGTGTGTAACTCTGCCATATGATTGATAGATAGATAGATAGATAGATAGATAGATAGATAGATAGATAGATAGATAGATAGATAGATAGATAGATGATAGATAATAGTGGCAAAGAATTCCACAATTTAATAATGCCTTGGTTAAAGAATTTTTCCTTTTTTGTTCATTGTGAATGTGTTGCCCACCAACTTCATTGAACGCCCCCAAGTTCTAGTATTATGGGAGAGGGAGAGAATGTTTTCTCTCTCTGTCTATCTATTTTCTCAGCTGAAAAGCCACATCTATATCCTGCCTTCTGACCTAATGGACTCTTAGAGCCACTGGTGGTCTTAGCAACCACAGCAGCTGCCCCAGACCCTTTATGGGGGGGGGGGTGACTGCCATGCTGCTGCCCTGGTTACTGCTGTGCTCTCTGCTACAGCAACTGAAGGGTCGAAGCTGTGGGAGCTGCTTCCAAGTGCCACGCCCTTGCCCTGACTGTGATGCTGCAGCCGCCACAACTTGGGAGGCGGAGGTGAGGGGGCGGGGCGGGGGTGGGGGGTTCTGCTCCCACAGACCACCGTACAGTGCTGCCTTGGCAGTCCCTGGCTGCCCTCTGGGTCCGGTGCCTCCTGGGCAGCCAGACACTCTGTTGGCTGGGCAGGATATCTGCTGGAGGAAATCCCTTCCTTTCTTCCAGGAGCTTACTGTGTGTAGGGCAGGTGTTGCCTAGCAGCCAGATCTGTCTCAACCATGCCACTGGGATGCAAGCATCACAGCCAAAAAAGGATCACCATTCATTTGCCAAATAATTAACAACATTCTGCGCTTTTAGTGGTACCCCTCCAATCTGCTGCCTGCCTCCTGCAACTTAATGTTAAGGCTGGCCTTAAGTTTGGTTTGCCCTGCCTCTGAGAGCTCGTATTATCCGAATAGCCTCGCCCTTCAGTTCCCCCATTTCCCTCTTTTGAACGGCAGGCACCTCCTGATGCACACAGAAACAGACCTCGCATAGGCCTCTGTGTCTGTAATGCTGATTATTACATTGATGACACACCTTATGTGCTTGTTGACACACTGTGGCATCACGTCTGAATTGTGTGACTCCCAAGGCAGCACCAATATTCAAAGAAAAGACAAAAGGGTTTCTTGTTTATTTATTTATTCAGATTTATAGCCCTCCCTTCCCGGAAGTGGGCTCAGAGTGGGCAACAACATTTCATTTATACAAATCTATTAGCTAATACAATAAAATTAAATTTAAAACATCATCATAAATATTACAATGGTGGTCGCAGCAGATAGCAAAGAGACTTTCTGGTTGTGGGAAGTTCCCGGCTATAGCCAGTAGTTGTTGACAGATGACAGAAACCTCGGGGAGGCCCTATATGGACGTTCACAGCCTCAGCCAAAGGCCTGGTGGAACAGCTCCGTCTTGCAGGCCCTGCAGAATTGAAGTAGATCCCTCAGGGCCCTGATTTCAATGGGGAGCATGTTCCACCAGGCAGGGGCCAGGGTGGAAAAGGCCCTGGCCCTAGTTGAGGCAAGGCGGACGTCTAGGCTTGCCAAGTCCCCCCGGGGGGCGGGGAAATCACCGCCCCAGAGGCCCGTTCCCCGGCGGCGGCGGATCGGGCCCCGGGGGAACCCCACCCCCAAAGCACCCGACGTGCACGTCACCCGGAAGTGACACGACCACACCGGGCATGCTGGGGGTGGGGCCACGGTCATCCGAGGGAAAACTGTATGGTTTTCCCTCGGATGGTCGTGGCCCTGCCCCCAGCATGCCCGGCGTGGTCGAGTCACTTCCGGGTGACGTGGTCACGCGGCGCGCACGCTTTGCATGCATGCGCTCCAGGAAGAAGCCGGGAGTCCCCCGCTCCAACAGCAGGTAAGACTTGGCAACCCTACGGACGTCTTTCGGGCCAGGAACTACCAGGATCCATAGAGCATAATGATCTTCAGGGCATATACGAGAAGAGGCAGTCCCTCAGATATGTGTAAGGTTTTAAGGTTTGTTCTGCAGTCATTTTCTTGTCTATCTTGTTTAATTGTTTCGTGCTATTACAGCAGTATTGCTTTCCTCTGTTTCTCATTGTCAATGTATTTCAGCTGTGTTCTGGGTTCAATAGGCTTCTGTTGGCTAACCTGGGAACCTTACCACCATCTATTACATGTATTCTTATAGGAAAATGTGTTCCAAATTAACAACGCTTGACTTACAAACTTCTGGAATGCAAATTGGGGACTTCCTGTATTCTCCTTCAGAGTGGGAATAAGGGGGAGACATCCTTGAGTTTTGCCCAGGGTCCCAGAATCACTAAGACAGGCCCTGCCCAGAGTAGTTTGCAGAAGCAGAAAGCAGAAATATTACATATACTAAAAATGAAACCCCAATATAAAACTGTGTCAGTACAAAGTGGAACCACACAAAGAGCCCTGATAAGTTCCCGGAGGGTTTTCTAGAATGGGTTGCATAAAGATTGTGCCCTAAACATTGGAAAATGTTGCTACTGAAACCTAACCTACAGGTTTGTTGTAAGGATGAACTGAGGGGTGGCATGCAATGTTCTCTCTAAGCTGTGGAGTCTTGTGAGCAAAAAATTCTACTTTGTGAGCTACTGGCATTAAAGTTGTGAGCAAGAGATTTGGGTGCTGGATAAACTAGTCTGCTCTGGAGCCATCCCTTCCTGAGCCAAGACAAAAATGTGTGAGCCAGAGACTCAAAAACTGTGAGCTAGCTCACACTAACTCAGCTTAGAGGGAACACTGGTGGCATGTCCAGTATTCTGAGCTTCTTGGAGGAAGGGGATGATACAACTAAATGATGATAAATATACAATAATAAATAAGGGGAATAAGGATCTGCTTGATTGCCATCCAATACAGAGTTGTACCCTTCTAAGCACATTGAAGTCAATAGGCTTAGAAGGGTATAATTCTATTTAGGACTGCATTGCTAATGAGGAAACTAGTCATTTAAGCCTCTCAGGGGAGGGATTCCACACCAGACTTTCCCATGATGCTGCTACTGGAGATTCATGCCAGGAATCATTTGAACAGGGGGCCTCTCTCTGTCACTCCCCAAGAACTGAACTGGGTGACAAGTAAGTGACGACCGTGCTCTCTACTTTCCAAGCCATCAGTATACCAGTAAACAGAGTGGTTAGGTTTGCCAGCTCGAGGCTGGGAAATATCTCGAGATAGGGGGAGTGTAGCCTGGGGACGGTGGGGTTTGGGGGGGGGGGGGAACTCCAGCAGGATATCATAATATAGACTCCATCCTCCGGAGCAGCCATTTTCCCTAGGAGGACTGATCTTGGTCACTTGGAGATCTCCAGATGCCACCAGGAGGTTGGCAGTCCTAATAATGCCCCATGTAGTGTTCGTGGCAGAGGTGAGTTCACACTCTTTGCTATCAGCATCCACAGTGGGGTGACAGAGAGCCACGCAAAACAATCAGTGCTCCCTCTAAGCTGTGGAGTCTCCTGAGCAAAAATTCTACTGACATTAAAGTTGTGAGCGAGCGATTTGGCTACTGCATAAACCAGTTTGCTCGGGAGCCATCCTTCCAGAGCTAAGACAAAAATGTGTGAGCCAGAGGCTAAAAAAAACACTAACTCAGCTTAGAGGAAACACTGAATGAGATCATAGTGACATTGAGAGTGTGACTTTGCCAGGCCTCACACCATTTTCCTCCCAGAGGTTGCCAGCTGTGGCCTGATGGTGACCCTGTCTGTCCGCTTGCGGGGTAGGGCGGGGTAAAAATATCCGAATAAATAAATAAAAAATAAAAATATGCCAACACAGAGTTCTTCCCAGTAGGCATGCTAGACCAAGCAATCAATCATTCCTAGGTCTCCTGTGATTCCCAAAATCTCCAGGAATTTCCCAGCCCAGAGTTGGTCACCCTGCATTCTTAGCCTGCTGATGAAAAAAGAATGCACACTTCTCCGAGCATCATCTGTTCAGAATGCCACATAATACATTTCCATTCCTTATTTTGCAGAGATATCAAACCTGACAACATACTACTGGATGAGCATGGTAAGTTGGTCAAGAATCTTCTGTAAGAATGGCATTGTAATCTTTTAAAAATGTCCTCGTGTGGCTTATCAGGAAAAAATTAGAACTCTTCAGTGAAAGGTTTTGGATATTCATTCACATAATTCCAGACATAATCCAGACAATGCAACTTGCGGCTGCTTGACTGAAGATGTTAGCCCATCTGAATGTTAGTCCACTGTGTTGCCCTGCAAGGAGCTTATAACGCTCTTATGGACTTAGAACTTAATAACTGGACTGTGCAATAAGTGTGCCAAGGGAAATGGAATGTGTGGTGACCACAGGCTGATGCCAACTGCCTGGTCTGTGAACATGTGCCCAGATGAGGTAAGACCCCCCCCCCTGAGATCATGTGCCAGACCAGGGCTTTTTTGGTAGAAAAAGCCCAGCAGGAACCCATTAGCATAATAGGCCACACCCAACAACTGAAACTCATTAGTATATTAGGCCACACCCTGAGAGCAGCTCATTAGCATATTAGGCCACACACCCATGTTACCAGAAGTGTGGTCATCCAGCCACACCCACCTTTTGCTTCTTATTCTGTTTACCTTGTTTGTTGACAAAACCCAGGGCTTTTTGTGTAGCAGGAACCCTTTGCATGTTAGGCCACACACCCCTAACGTAGCCAATCCTCATGAGTTTCTGCTGCTGGGTGTGGCCTATTATGCTAATGAGTTCCAACTTGGGAGCCAGCCGGAACTCCGTTCCTGTGCGCTCCTGCCCAAAAATAGCCCTGTGCCAGACCAAGGATGGATCCACAGGTTATCTGCCACTCCTCACCTGCAATGCAGCAGAGATGAGCCAAGCACCCTGGCCACGAACAGCACACAGAAGCCAGTAAAAGCATGCTGTAGAGGAATGCCATGTAATGCAGGGAGACCTGAACATCTCCACAGAGATTCCATGAGCAGAAACCTCTGTCAGCACGCAGGCACATCTTCCCCTCCACCCACCACCCTCACCAGATACTGCACATATGACAAAAGATCTACTTGCATAAAGAGATTAGCCGACTGACGCATACCTGCCAAGCCCATCAGCCAGACCGATCATCGGGCCATCAAGACTTAATGACTCTGGCCACTTCTGCTATTGTCTTCTAAAGGTGCCACTGTTAGTAGTAATGGAATCAATATCGCCCAACCATTAAGCCCCACCATCCTCCTGCAACTAGCTTTTCTCGAAGCAACTTCCTGTGGATGTGACAAGGGAAGTAGCCAGTGAAGCCCACCCCCAAGTTCAAATAATGTATAAAAAGAGCAGGATCTGCCATGCTCTCTCTCCTCTGTACCTGACCCCATCCTATCTTGCTGGCTCTTGGTGTAAGCGCTGCCCAGCATCTCTCCACGTGTTCTGCCAGTTCAGAATATGACCCTTTTCCCCTTATAGTTTCCCCTACTTTTCCGCTGTAAGGATCGCTTCATCGTGTCAGGACAGGTCAGTATTGCCCAACCAACGAACTCCTTCTAATGTCACTGTCTGTCTATATTTCTTAGATCTGTGTGATTGTGTGCGTGTTTAAATGTATTGTATGCTTGTGAACACTTTTCAGTAAAGAAACCAATTCTTTAAGATTTGGTCTCTGCGTTTATTTCTGGGTTACTGGACTAAAAGCAGGACTCCTGTATACAAAGGTTACTGTTCCCTATTTTGCCAATTGCCACTTAATATATTCAGATTCCCCATCTTTATTAATAAATCAAGGCAGTTTGGCTAACAATTGCTTGCATGACTGGTGGCACTGGAGGTGGGGCTGATACACTTTTGGGGAGGGAGGTGGGGAGGGAGGTGGGGAGGGAGGTGGGGGGGGGTGTCCTTCCCTCCCTGATCCCCTCAGAGGTGGTCCTAATTAAGCCTAGCAAAAACTAGATGTCTGGGAGAAGAATGCTAGCCTGGCAGTATCACAGGCATTCCGATCCTGTGTAGGCAGGGAAGAACTTTTTGCCTGGACGCCACGAGGTGCCTTTTGAGAATTTGTTGACTCGTTCCCACAGCCTACCTCCTACTGTTAAGTTTCCCTACCCCTGACTCTGCTCAGATTTCTTTCGTGGATGCACTGATATATGTTCATGAAGGTCGTTGATGTGTCAAACCTTTCGTGAAGCCTACAGATAAAAAATTCTCTTTTGCATTATTCTGGTTTTCAGCTGCTGTGCCTGATCAGGAATCTTCCTTTTAGTTCCTTTTTACATATTAAATGCAAGAATTCGTCTGCTTCTGTGTACCTTGCTGAAGCTGAGTCCTTGACTGAGAATGTGGGCATCCTAACAGAGCTGTGACATCAACCTGGAATCAAGCTAATTGCAAACCTAGGAAGGAATTGTTTGTCCATTCTGAGTCCATATAGAGGGATTGTTTGTTTTTATAATATAATAACAGTTTGTTTTTACACAGTTAAGGACAATTGCACTTCTTTAATGGCCTCTGGTTCTCCGTACCTTTTTGCAGCTTGTCTGCAGGGCTGCCTGGAGATCTCCCGGAATTACAACTGACAGAGATCAGTTCCCCTGCGGAAGATGGCTGCTTGGGGGGCGGGGTGGTGGTGGACTTTATGGCATTGTGCCCCACTGAAGTCCCTCCTCACACAAAACCTTGCCCTCCCCAGGCTCTGCCCTCAAATCTCCAGGAATTATTGACAGTGGAGTTGGCAACCCTACTTGTCCACCATCCACTGTCACCTTGAAAATCTAATTTGGGGTGTCAAAGGGTTAGGGTTAGGGAAGAAGGATGATGCGGGAAACTACAGGCCGGTCAGTCTGACTTCTGTTGCTGGGAAGATATTAGAGCAGATTTTAAAGGGACTGATATGTAAGCATCCGAAGGACCACTTAGTGATCCGGGGAAGTCAGCATGATTTTGTCCCCAACAGATCTTGTCAGACCAACCTGGTTTCCTTCTTTGATCGTGAGACAAGCTTACTGGATCGTGGGAACTCTGTTGATGTGATTTACCTGGATTTCAGTAAAGCTTTTGATAAGGTTCCCCATGACATTCTGATGGGCAAACTGGAAGACTGTGGGCTGGACTATAGGACAGTTCGGTGGACATGGAACTGGTTGGAGGACCGCACCCAAAGAGTGGTGGTCAATGGCATTTCATTAGATTGGAGGGAGGTGTACAGTGGGGTGCCGCAGGGCTCGGTTTTGGGCCCGGTACTTTTCAATATTTTTATCAATGATCTGGATGAAGGGGTAGAAGGGCTACTCATTAAATTTGCTCATGATACCAAATTGGGAGGAGCAGCAAACACCCAAGAAGATAGAGTTAAAATGCAACGACCTGAATACTCTGGAGAAGTGGGCAGTTGCAAATAGGATGCAGTTCAGCAAAGATAAATGCAGAGTATTACATCTGGGCCACAAAAATGTCAAGCACAAATACTGGATGGGGGATACGTTTCTGGGGAGTAGTGCATGCGAAAGAGATCTTGGGGGTAAGAGTGGACTGTGAACTAAATATGAGCAGTCAGTGTGATGCGGTGGCAAAAAAGGCAAATTCAGTCTTGGGTTATATTAAAAGGGCCACAGCATCAAAATCACAGGAGGTCATAGCCCCTTCTGTATACTGCCTTGGTCAGGCTGCACCTGGAGTCCTGTGTGCAGTTCTGGAGGCCTCGCTTCAAAAAGGATGTGGACAAAATTGATAGGGTGCAGAAGAGAGCGACGCGGATGATCAGGGGTCTGGAGACTGAGCTCTGGGGATGTTTAGTTTGGAGAAGAGGAGATTGAGGGGGGACATGATTGCTCTCTTTAAATATTTGCAAGGCTGTCACTTGGAGCTGTTCCAGTTGGCAGCAGGGGATAGGACCAGAAGCAACGGGTTTAAATTTCATGTAGAAAGGTATCAGCTGGTTCAAAGGTGGAATCAGCTGCCTAGGGAGGTGGTGAGCTCCCCTTCACTGGCAGCTTTCAAGAAGAGGCTGGACGAATATTTGTCAGGGATGCTCTAGGCTGGCCCTACATTGGGCAGGAGGTCAGACTAGATGGTCTATATGGCCCCTCCCAACTCTATGATTCTATGTGTGGTGCTTATATCTGGTGGACCTGCAGTGAGCCATCAGTGAGACAGTCTAAAAGTACCTAACTTGGCAACATGTTGTTCAGACATGCCATTTAGAACAGTAGAACAGTGAGATTTCATCAGACTAAGGGAGCTTGACTCTTGGAAGTTTATACCCCCAAGTCCTCTTCATCTCTTAGGTGCTACTGAACTCGAATCTAGTTGTTTAGATACGCAGAATCTCATTTTATGTTATAGACCAATTTAAAGTTCTTGATAAAAAGCAATTTTTAAAAAGTGTTTGAGTGTGCTCATCATTGATAAACCACCACTGTTCAAGATTCACATGTCACTACTGGCTATTGCAATGTCCCTAGAGAGAGAATGATTCAATTTTGGCTACATTTTGTTTTATTGGTCTCTCGATACCTTTGTACAAATGAGTAAGTCTTAACTGCATCCGGAACAAGCAAAGTGAAAAAACACTGTTCTCTGGTTCAGTGAACAAATTTGAGTGACTTCATATGGGTGAAGCTGGGAAGAGAAACTTAAAGCTATATTTAACCTTTTGTTTTGTTGGTTTAAATTGTAGGGCATGTTCATATCACGGACTTTAACATTGCTACAGTTGTGAATGGCTCAGAAACAGCTGCCTCATTAGCTGGGACCAAGCCCTACATGGGTAAGTCTTACAGATCCTTTCGAAGATAGCAAAGATTTTTTTAAAGAACACCCACAAAATAAAAAGCAAAAGAACAATAGCAAAGATAGGACTTTTCTTGCCTTAACAAATATATATACAATCCTTTGAAGTAGTAAAAAGTCCTCTTGAAGTGGTTTGACATTTCTATAAATAATTTGAGGCACGATCCAACCAAAAATAGGAGTTTCTAAATGTCAATGGAAGCATTAAGCATATTATGAATCTGGAATTTATGAACTTCATCAGTTAGAATGGTTGTCTTCCTGTAAATAGAAAATGTGGAAGACATCCAAAGACCATATACTTCTAACCCCTTTTCATCCCACAATTTAGGACATTCCTAAGTAGTCCACATCATTTAGTCCACCTGAGACTTTGAGAAGGACATCTTTATCTAATTTTCAATGGCCCCGGTCACACAGGCCGGATATCGCCGGGGGGAGGCGTGGCTAATTGCCCCGGCGCAGTTTGATGCACAATTACATGATTAGACGCGCCGGCGGCACACCACGGGTCCTTCCCTCGGCGCCGGCGGGTAAATGAGGGACCGGAGGGGAATGCTGCGCGCTGGCGCAATCACACCACAGGCATCTGGAGACAGCCCGTGGCAAACGTTTACTAGTACCTTGGAGGTGCTAGTTTTTTTTTGGTAAACAAATTTTATTTTTTCTCAGGAATACAACATGTAAAATTAAATCATTTCATTCTATCAATTGTCTACCCCATTCCCAGTTCCTCCCCTCCCTCCGGTGGCTTCCCGCAATGCTTCCACCCCTGCTCCAAATTACTTCATATCATCAACTATATCAATTTCTTATCGTTACAATCTCTTTGTATTATCCTGTGTTACATGAGAGTTATTTTATAATATTCTTCATTCTTGAAGCACATATGAATTCTGAAATCCTATATTCTAAGAGCTGAGTGTGACCCGATCAATAGGTATATAAATCTGTGGATTCGGGCTGCAAACTTGGGGGGAAATCTGAACACTTAATGGGGGGTTTAAATCTTTCCAAAAACAAAAGTGCTGTCTGTGTGATCGCGGAGAACACACTCCGCCTCTGCACCCTGTGTTGTCCGTTGGAGCCAGGTCGCTGATCTGGGCCCACCGGCAGCTGCGACAGAGCCCAGGAACCGCTTTTGGCCCAGTGACAGTTACCATGGAGGTCTGGAGCTGCTCCAGATTTGGTGGCAGCTGTGGCAGAACCCGGGAGCCACACTGGGCCCAGCAGTGGTGGTGACCATGCAGGCCTGGAGCCACTCAGGGCTCGGCAGCAGCTGTGGCAGAAACCGGGAGCCACTCCTTTGCCCAGGGGCAGCCATGGTGTTAGCCAAATTGCTGTATTTCTTTAATAAAAGTGCTAAGTATGCAACTCAACAACGTTGTAACAAGTGAATCAGCTTTATTAAGAACAAGAACTTCCAAGATCACACAAGACACGACGACACAACAACAAACAGTGGAGCCTAGCCCCTTTTAAACAATCCCGGGCTGGCGTAGCCACGCCCTCACATCGTTAAGGTCCAATCATAATACATAGATAATATCCAATAAACACAGTGCCCTCCAGCACAGTTCTCTTACATCTGATCGGTTACAATACTGCTTCAGCCAATGGTGTTGTTTCAGATTAGAATCCTGGCTGAGGTTTCAAGCTTAACATGGTTTCTCTATGGGGATGACACAACAAAAAGGTCGGGGAATTATGATTTTTTAAAATTTATTATTAGATTTATACCCTGCCCTCCCCCAGCGGGCTGATATTTATGTGCAATTGGCATAACTAAGGGACACAAGCGTATGTATACAGGTCCCACCTTTCTAGTAAAAGGTAAAGGTAAAGGTTCCCTTGCTCGAAAGCCAGTCGAATACGACTCTAGGGTTGCGGTGCTCATCTCCGTTTCAAAGCCAAAGAGCCAGCGCTGTCCGAAGACGTTTCCATGGTCATGTGGCCGGCATGACTAAACACCAAGGCGCATGGAACGCTGTTACCTTCCCACCGAAGTGGTACCTATTTATCTACTTGCAATTTCTTGCTTTCGAACTGCTAGGTTGGCAGGAGCTGGAACTAGAGACGGGAGCTCACTCCGTCTTGCGGCACCTGGGTCTCGAACTGCTGAGCTACTGACCTTCCACAGCCTGCAGTTCAGCGTCTTAACCACTTGAGCCACCGCCGCTCCTACCTTTCTAGTAAAACTAAGAATAAACACAGAAACCAATTCTTTAGAGAAATGGGTTCTTTACAAGCACACATACACTTATTCAGACCTAGGAAAATTAGAGAAAAAGGGATAGCGACCTTCGCAGGTAAAAACGTTGATTGGGTGATACTTGCCTGTCCTGAAGAGATGGAAGTGATCTACAGGAAAAATGAGGAGACTATGAGGAACAGGAATCATATTCTGGACCAGCAGAATATGTGGAAAGACTCTTGGGCAGCTACTCCAGAGTTAACAAAACAGGGCAGGCCCAAGAGTTAGGTACAGAGGCAGAGAGAGAGAGGGAGAGAGAGGGAGAGAGAGAGAGAGAGAGAGAGCACATGGTCTTGCTTTTTTATGCACTGTGGGGCTTCTTTGTGTGGCTCTGTCTCATGGGCACCAATCAGTTCATTTTCCCTGGCACACTCTTTGCACAGTCCAGATATAGAGTTATATCACAAGTCCATACTTTATAAAAAGCTTGCAAGGCAACAATGGAGGCCCAAAGCTGCTCTCTGTCCTTATTTTAAACAGGAGGAGGGGGTTTGGGGGTGGGATGCAACAGTGGCTGCATGGCTATGTCACTCCTGGGGAAACCTGGAAGTTAGGGTGGAAAAAAAGGAGGGGACAATTTAACCCAACAAAGCTGAATCAAGAACCTAGAAGGTTAGTTAGAAAACAAGTACAGAGCCAATAGTTAAGAACACGAGCATAAACTAATTATAAGCAAAAGTACATGTATTTATTACAGAAATTTTAAAAAACATATAAGGGCCCAACTAAAGCTTCGTAACACAACTAAAGCTTCATAACACAATACGCACAAGGGAAGCAATGGTGACCCAACATGTTTTGGCCCAATGGGGCCTTCTTCAGAGGTCAAACTATATAAGGTACAAATAGACTCCTATTACAATCAAAAGGCAATGAACAAAAGTGGACCAAAAGTGGAGTTCTACTAAAAGAAAGGGGGGGGGGGATAGGGTTTAAATTACAAAGTGAATAACTATGTCTAATTGTAATAAAAATTATTAACACCACATAATTTTACTTACTCTAGATCGGAAATCACTAGACATAAGGAAATTATGTTATAAGAGGCCTCCATGGATACAAGAAGAAACAATTCTGATGTAAAGTCAATTTAAGTAATATGAAAATTAGGCTACATCCAAGGAGGCTTGATCCAAGGAGGCCCTTATATGTTTTTAAATGTTTCTGTAATAAATACATGTAGAAAACTTGGAAGTGCCAGAGGGTAGCTCTAGGAATCAGCAGAAACTGATCTCCAGAGTAGCATTTTCTGGTGCTTCATTGGGTTGGATCATTTCCACTAGCCAATGTTAGGCTTGCCAAGTCCCCCCGGGGGTGGGGAAACCCCCACCCCAGAGGCCCGTTCCCCGCCGCCGGTGGATCAGGCCCTGGGGGGAGCCCCACCCCGACGTGCGTGTCACCCGGAAGTGACGCAACCACGCCGGGCATGCTGGGGGCGGGGCCACAGTCATCCGAGGGAAAACTCTATGGTTTTCCCTCGGATGGTCGTGGCCCCGCCCCCAGCGTGCCCGGCATCAGCACGTCACTTCCGGGTGATGTGCGTGTGGCCCACGCGCACGCTCCAGATGCCAGCCAGGAGTCCCCCGCTGCGACACAACACCCGAATTGGCAACCCTAGCCAACGTGCATTCCGTCAGCAGAAGGAGCCTTTCCCAATGCAAGATGGGCCTCTACTAGCAGAACGGATCTACCGGATCTAACCCCCAGTGACCCCCCCCCCAAAAAAAATCCCTGCTCATAGAAAACCTAATTAACAAAGAATGATCAAACTTCTTGTATTTTGTTTCCATAGTATCTTCTGTAGCACCAGGCACCACCAAATACTAATTTACTCTGCCTCTAGCAAATGCTGGAAGAGTCACTCTATTGCTTGAGACAGAAGGATTCCGAAATTCAGTGTTTTGTGTTCAGTTTTAGGGTAAAAGGCAAAGAGGGGGTTCTACCATCCAGTTTATTTTCAGTGGTGACTTTTTTCTGGAGACGGTTTAATTTTTCATTCACTAAGGAGCTACTTGTGATCAGAACAAGTCTGGCTGTACTTCTTTATAACTCAAGTGACTCCCATGAATATATGCCAAATTCAACTTCAAATACAGAAATTAGAAGCAGGATTCAAAATATTCACCATATTTAAACAGGAATCTGGGTTACAAAAAGAATCTTTAGGTACAATTCTAAAAACTGCCGGGAGAAGGGGCCAGGAGCAGGGAAGGATATAAGGGGGAGGATTACTCCAGGTCGAGGAGGAATGCCCTGGAGTTCACCAGGCTGCATGCCAGAGAGAGAGAGAGGTGGCCACAGAACCCAGGAGGAATGAGGCAGAAGGGCAGTGACAGAACCCCCTTCCCTGTTCATCAGACTGAGACCCAAGTGAGCCTGGCAAAGACGGAGGGGACGTGGTGGGCCCAAGGGCGTCCCCGGGAAAAATGGAATATGCGGGGAGGCCCAGCTTAAGTGGCATGCAGAAGGCCATCTGGCAAATCTGTGGCAGCAATGAGATCTGATCCTCTTGGATCAGGGCAGGGTGCCCTCCAAGCCATTATGGTGCTTCACTCCATCTCAGGGCATTCTGCATCCCTCGGCCCTGCTCCGTATCATTGGCCACTGCTGGGGTGGGAGGGAGAAGGATGCAGGACATCATGCGGTATAGGGTACCTCAAGACCTGCAACCCAGGGCCCCCTGGGGCGTAGAAAGACTGAGATGATCTGGAGCCTGTCCAGCT